TTCGCTTTGGTCATAAATCTTTCTATCGGTTTGGTATCCGCAGTTTCCTAGCAACAAGCCATAAACCAATTCTAAAGACGCAATTAAACATGACGTGATCGTGCATTTTGGGTTTCCAGGCCACACGGCCGGCGACTTGGGCTCATTTTATTCATCCTCTGTTTATTGTACGTTAGAGAATCGCAAAGTATTTCTGCGGCAAAAAACAGCGGGCTGCCAACATAACAGTGCCCTATTGGACAAGTGGCCGGAAATCCTTGCCGTGGGAGTCTTAACCCCAAAAGAACGGTGACCTGAACTTCAGCTAGCCTGCGAAAGCATCCGCTTCTTCTCGCTCTTCGCCGCTAGGGACGTTTCGCGAAACGTCCCCAGCGACGAAGAGCAAGGAGAACCGGATGCTTTCGCAGGCTAAACTTATTAATAAGCGAGAGCAAGGATAAAGGAGACCAGTCCGTTAATCGAGCGGCCTATATAAAGCCCGAGAGTGAATAAACACGGAGATTATGCGAAATGGTTTTGAAATACTCGTTTTGAGCCACTCTTACTCAAATGTATCTTTGAATTCATGATAAATACAGCTCTACAAGGTTCGAACAGTGTGAATGGCAGAGGAAAATACTTCAACACTTTTGATTTTGGTGTAGTGGTCGCATGGCCCAGTGGTCAGAGGCCGCACTTTTTGGCTGGAGGAACTGTTGGGGTGCAGGTTCAAATCCCGGGGTGGCTACTTCCGCTCTTTTTTTCATCGTATTTTTACCTTTTGGCTTTCTCACTACTGACCATGATAGCTTCGCGAGATTTTTGCGAAAACATATTTTTAGTTTAATTATATTGACAATATATATTGCATAAAAGTAGGCGTCACTACAGCCTAAAGCAACGTTTTTGATGTCACAGTATTAAACCCAGCGACGGTTGAGTGGTATCATTTTCAGTAACTTTTAAACAAAGCAGTAACGAAGTCGACTGTAGAAGGAGCAGATGACTTGTCCAGGTGCCCCATTCAAACGTATGACTTAACATGTTTAATTAAACCATGTTTTTAAACATGAAAAACGGACGCGAAAAACAGGAACACAGGTTTTTAATTACACAGGATGCAGTAATGAAATTCAACCCGTTTTGTCATTTGCAATAAAGTTGACATCAACCTAAAGTGCTTTTATGTAGGGAAGAAAAAATTATACCGTCTTTGACTAAACAACTTTTAATTTATATGTTTAAGCTTTGGTGTGAATGGGGCATAGGCCGATCAGCTGGGTGAAAACTTTCGAAAATAAAATCGATAAAACAGTTCAATTCAGCTTTATCTACTAAGCAGTCTTTCCTTTAACTTTTTTTATGAGAAAAAAAAAAGAAGACAAAGAAACCTTACTTTAAACAAGGGTCTTTTACAAATGCATAGAATAGCTGTATCCTTTTAGAAAGTTAGCAGTTTATATATAGGCAAAAGTTAAATGTTTATTTAACAATTAGTTCATGCGTCAGCGTGAGTATATCAAGATATCAGGCAAACGGGAAATTTGGGGCGTGAGAGTTGCTCTATTCGAAGACGGAATGGCAAAGTTGTATCGTTATACCAAGTTAAGCACTAGTTAATACAGAATTGACTTTACACCGTCTGCGGCAATAACAGAGGCAAAAGCCAGTGAAAGTTAGCTTAGGGAGAAAGTGAAAGTTAGCTCAGGGAAAATAATTTTTCAGATGTTTTTAGTAAATTAGCTATGAACACGTGTACCACCATATCTGATGTTAATGATCATGCAGATCATAACTATTCGTGGCTCTTTTCTAGAAAAGAGCATTCATCAATTGGTCTGATGGCGTTTACGCAAATGCAAAAGTTTTGAAGATATAGACAATGTGGCACTAGTGTGAAAGTCTAAATGCCTCTTTCGGTTTATTCACATTTTATTGGGAAAGAATAGATCATTGATATTTTATGGGTGTTTTTAATAAAACAATCATTCCAATCCCGCTTTCTGGATATGGAATTATTTTATGGCCAACGAAGCACGTTGCTTGATCCTCTTCACCTCTTTATCTTTGTTGAAGTAGGCCAAAATATTTACTAACAATGAATACTAATCAAAGACCTCTTTCTTGCTGCAGGCTAAAACCATCTCTTTGATTCTTTCAGGTCCCAGTGGTTCTGATTTGATCCATCTGGAACTTTTTTTTTTAATTCGCATATAAATTGATAATATTCCTCAAAGGCTCCATTGAAAGTCGGCGCCATTAGACAGTAAAGCAACGATTTTGTCACAATATTAAACTCAGCGACAGTTGAGTGGTATCTTTTATTTTCAGGTACACTGACAGGACTCTAATATATTTCAACGAGCATTGAAATTTCCATTAAATTTCTCATCAACAACCTAAGAATTGTATCAAGGAATAAAGTTTTAAACCCTGTCCAACTAATTCGCTTTTAAACATGTTTAAGCTTTGTTGTGAATAAGGCATGAAAAACCTCGAACATGAAATCGATGAAACAAAGCAACTAAATGCTCATGTATACTATGTTATTTTATGGTGTACACAAAATTGAAAGGCAAATTATCAGCCTTCGAAGTTTAGCTTTATCCGCTAAGGTAGCTGTCTTCCCTTTAACTTGTTTTGGAAATTAGAATGTTGGCCGTTTGAGTTGCTCTGGCTCTTACAGACCTGGACCTTACTTTAAACAAGACAATTAGTGTCTTTTACAAATGCATAGGATAGGAGGTAATTAATTAGCACGTTTCCAAACCGGAAGATGAAGTTTTATTGTTCTAGAAATTAAAGTTAGCAGGTAATACAAATATAACTTCATACCATCTCGTCATTTACAAAACTAATTAGAGGAAAGACGTATAATAAATATTTATTTAACAATAAGTTCATGCGTCACCGTGTGTATGTTAAGATATAAAGCATTGGAAAGTTTTGGGACTAAGAGCTGCTCGCTTCGCTCACGGAAAAACGAAGTATTAAGTATCGTTCATTATAGCTAGTTAAGCAGAAATTAATAACAGAACACGATCTGTGCTTTTATTAAATAGAGCATAGAGAGAAGGGGAACGTTAGCTTATGCACAAAAAATAATTTTTCAGGTGTTTTTAGTACACTAACTACGAACAGATGTGCACCACCATAAATGTTGTTAGTGAGATCATACTTATTCGTGACGCTTTTCTAGAATGACTATTCATCAATTGGTCCGTTGGCCTGGGACCAGGCTCCGTTCGCAGATTTTTCTCCTTCGCCCTTTCCCCACTGCGGAGCCTGGTCGCAGGCTATTGGTCCGTTGGCGTTGAAGCAAATGAAAAATTTTAATTGATATAGACATGTGGCACTAGTGTAAAAGTCTAATATCTCTTTCGGTTTATTTTTAAAAAAAGGTTTCGGAAAGGATCGATCAATGATATTGTATGGCCGTTTTTAAGAAAACAATTATTCTACCCGCACTTGCTGAATATGAGAGGTTTGTGGCCGACGCGGCACATAGGCCCCTATTCAACGCGAGCACTTTTGGAATAATTGTTGATTATTATGCGTAACGTACGGTTAAATACAACATCCAATGGATTTCTATTGAAAGCATCATGATTGTCACTCCCTTTTTCAATATTTGCACCTTCTTTATTTCAGGTACCATCTGAGTGAGTTTAAAGGTGATATGTCATTAGAATATTGCTGTTAGGTCTGTGCGTATTAATAAGTGCTATAGAAAATACCCTGATATAGCCCCCTTTAACACCAAAGAGGAGCAGGTGGGCCCTCTGATAGTATACAGTGGAACCTAACGAACTTCTGTATAACGAAATCCTCGGTATAAGGAACGACTTCCTTTACACCAGTAATTATAGTAAAAAATACCAAAAAGAACCTCGATAAACCGAAACCTCGGTGTAGCCAACAAATTTTGCCAGTCTCTTGGCCCGTCTATATTTTATCGACGACCCAGCCGGTGAATAACGTATATGTATGATGACCTTATTATTCGCATACTGATTCTAAGTTTTACAAGACCTGAGTGAATGCCAAATTTATCATCAACACGTTAAATATTTAGCAAACAAAATTCCATTTGTAGTTGATTTAACTTTGCTCTAGTAATCATGACTTGTGTGTGTATGTTTTATCCCGGCAAATTCGACCTCTTTGATCACGGTATTTTATTTGTCTTCTCTGCTATTGGTAATATGCCATTGTTTGCTCAATAATTTTGCTTAAGTTGTTGTTCCACCAACCTCTGAGATCCGACTGAATCGACAATTTGTTAAACTAAACAGGAATTTAGTTATCTAACTGAAAAAGAGCAAAGCTGTACTTTTGAGAACAGCTGAAATGGCTAATGGTGTCCCTTTACACAAATTTTATGTGAATATTATTGCGATAGGGTCGACGAGTTTTAAGAGTTCCAAAGGGAGTTAATTGCAAGGGTGAATTCTGCTGTAGTAGACTGTATTGATTGAAATGAACGAGTAGCAGAAAGCATAATGTAAGAGGCACAACAAGAATGCGCTAAAACAGTGTAGACCTTCTTGGTGACCTCAAATAATGTAAACCGACATAAATTAGTAAATAAATAAATGCGTCATTTCATGAGAACTCATTTAGCATTTTTGATATGGGACCATTGATTGACTGTAGATTGGCAATTCAATCGGAGAAACCTTAATAATTTGTCTCCGTTTGCTGTCATCTTCCTACAATTAAAATATAGTGGCGCCTAAATGTTGTCAATAGTAGAATTATATATAGAACAAAGAACAGAAGATGTTTTGTAAGCAAAAGACTCAAGAGAACAGACCTGTCGAAGAATCCGAGTAAGCATGAACACAACAGCAAATGTGGGATCAAATTTCAGAAGCTGCCGCTCCAGTCTGATAAATCCAGAAGCACTAAAAATTGGGCAAACGGTTGCTCTCAGCCTGATACTCGTTGTTTCGTTGGTTGGAAATTCTCTCATCGTATTAATTGTTTACAAAACACTAACTTTGAGAAAACCGATAAATATGTTGATCGCAAATATGGCCATTTCCGACCTGCTCTATCCAATATTCTGGGTTCCTGCTCGTCTGGCAGAAGAGAACGCCGGCTCGTGGCTTATTGGTGGTACCCTCGGTCAGGCCTTGTGCAAGCTACACTCTTTTCTTTCAGACCTTTGCTCGTTAGTATCGATTCAGAGCCTTGTTCTGATAACAGTGGATCGATTTGTAGCTGTTGTAGTTCCACTCCGTTCCCCTCTCATAAGTAGAAAGCTGTGTCTATTCTTCATTGTCGCTTCGTGGATCGTCGCAATGGCCGTTCATTCGCCATATCTTGTTGCTTTAAAACTTGTTAAATACCCAGAAGGACTGAGGTGCGAACTTCTGTGGCAGGAAGCCTTCCAAGGAAACACATATCCAAATTACTTCCTAGCATGTGCTATCGTGTTTTTCTACATTCCGTTTGTCCTCTTGGTGATACTTTACTCCATCATCCTGATCAAGCTTAAAACGCAAGTCCATCCAGGTGAACAGTCAGCCAACGCTGAGGGACAGAGGGCAAGAAGAAATAGAAAAGTGCTCAAGATGGCCACTGCTATCGTGGTAGTGTTTTTCGTTTGCTGGATACCCTTTGTTAGTAACGGGATAATACACAAGTTCAGTGCACCAGACAGTCTTATAATTTCTTCTTGTAGTTTTCATCTATACCGTACTGTCACCTTCTTTATGGCTTTTGCAAACTGTGCTATTAACCCGATTATCTGCCTCATTCTTAACAGTAACTACCGCCAAGGTCTTAAGAGACTTGTGAGTTGCTGTGCCGCCGATGCAGTGGAACATTAATGTTTGAAGACTGAAAGCCGGGTCTGAAGAGATTCATTAAAAGAAAAAAAAAAAGAAGAAGACCAATAACAACTAATATGTTATGTAAAATAACAGCGAAATCTCGAAAGAAATGCATGTGAATTATGTTTTCGGCTGCAAAGTAATATAATCTGGAGCACGCCCTAACCCTAACTCTAAGAAGGGTGGAAAATGTTATTATATGAACGCATTTGCAACGTATAATTTTGCCGAAAAACGCCGATTGAAGCCAGCAGAGCCGTTTTATTATTTATAGACAGTTTCAGTGCACCAGACAGTCTTATTTTTTCTTCTTGTAGTTTTTATCGATACTTTAATGTCACCTTCTTTATGGCTTACGAAAACTGTGCTATTAACCCGATTATCTGCCTCACTCTTAGCAGTAACTATCGCCAAGCTCTTAAGAGACTTGTGAGTTGCTGTGCCGCCCGGATGCAGTGGAATATTAATGTTTGAAGACTGAAAGCCGGGTATGAAGAGATTCATTAAAAAAAAAGAAGACTAATAACTATTAACTGTTATGTAAAATAACAGCGAAATCACGAAAGAAATGCATGCGAATTATGTTTTCGGCTGCAACGTAATCTGGCCGGAAATCCTTGCCGTGGGAGTCTTAACCCCAAAAGAACGGTGACCTGAACTTCAGCTAGCCTGCGAAAGCATCCGCTTCTTCTCGCTCTTCGCCGCTGGGGATGTTTCGCGAAACGTCCCCAGCGGCGAAGAGCAAGGAGAAATGGATGCTTTCGCAGGCTAAACTTATTAATAAGCGAGAGCAAGGATAAAGGAGACCAGTCCGTTAATCGAGCGGCCTATATAAAGCCCGAGAGTGAATAAACACGGAGATTATGCGAAATGGTTTTGAAATACTCGTTTTGAGCCACTCTTACTCAAATGTATCTTTGAATTCATGATAAATACAGCTCTACAAGGTTCGAACAGTGTGAATGGCAGATGAAAATACTTCAACACTTTTAATTTTCGTGTAGTGGTCGCTTGGCCCAGTGGTCAGTGGCCGCACTTTTTGGCTGGAGGAACTGTTGGGGTGCGGGTTCAAATCCCGGGGTGGCTACTTCCGTTCTTTTTTTCATCGTATTTTTACCTTTTGGCTTTCTCACTACTGACCATGTTAGCTTCGCGAGATTTTTGCGAAAACATATTTTTAGTTTAATTATATTGACAATATATATTGCATAAAAGTAGGTGTCACTACAGACTAAAGCAACGTTTTTGATGTCACAGTATTAAACTCAGCGACGGTTGAGTGGTATCATTTTCAGTAACTTTTAAACAAAGCAGTAACGAAGTCGACTGTAGAAGGAGCAGATGACTTGTCCAGGTGCCCCATTCAAACGTATGACTTAACATGTTTAATTAAACCATGTTTTTAAACATGAAAAACGGACGCGAAAAACAGGAACACAGGTTTTTAATTACACAGGATGCAGTAATAAAATTCAACCCGTTTTGTAATTTGCAATAAAGTTGCCATCAACCTAAAGTGCTTTTATGTAGGCAAGAAAAAATTATACCGTCTTTGACTAAACAACTTTTAATTTATATGTTTAAGCTTTGGTGTGAATGGGGCATAGGCCGATCAGCTGGGTGAAAACTTTCGAAAATAAAATCGATAAAACAGTTCAATTCAGCTTTATCTACTAAGCAGTCTTTCCTTTAACTTTTTTTATGAGAAAAAAAAAAGAAGACAAAGAAACCTTACTTTAAACAAGGGTCTTTTACAAATGCATAGAATAGCTGTATCCTTTTAGAAAGTTAGCAGTTTATATATAGGCAAAAGTTAAATGTTTATTTAACAATTAGCTCATGCGTCAGCGTGAGTATATCAACTTTATCAGGCAAACGGGAAATTTGGGGCGTGAGAGTTGCTCCATTCGAAGACGGAATGGCAAAGTTGTATCGTTATACCAAGTTAAGCACTAGTTAATACAGAATTGACTTTACACCTTCTGCGGCAATAACAGAGGCAAAAGCCAGTGAAAGTTAGCTTAGGGAGAAAGTGAAAGTTAGCTCAAGGAAAATAATTTTTCAGATGTTTTTAGTAAATTAGCTATGAACACGTGTACCACCATATCTGATGTTAATGATCATGCAGATCATAACTATTCGTGGCTCTTTTCTAGAAATGAGTATGGCCCGATGGTGTTTACAGAAATGCAAAAGTTTTGAAGATATAGACAATGTGGCACTAGTGTGAAAGTCTAAACGCCTCTTTCGGTTTATTCACATTTTATTGGGAAAGAATAGATCATTGATATTTTGTGGATGTTTTTAATAAAACAATCATTCCAATCCCGCTTTCTGGATATGGAATTATTTTATGGCCAACGAAGCACGTTGCTTGATTCTCTTCACCTCTTTATCTTTGTTGAAGTAGGCCAAAATATTTACTAACAATGAATACTAATCAAAGAACTCTTTCTTGCTGCTGGCTAAAACCATCTCTTTGATTCTTTCAGGTCCCAGTGGTTTTCATTTGATCCATCTCGAACTTTTTTTTAAATTCGCATATAAATTGATAATATTCCTCAAAGCCTCAATTGAAAGTCGGCGCCATTAGACACTAAAGCAACGTTAAACTAAGCGAAAGTTTGGTGGTATCTTTTTTTTCAGGTACACTGACAGGACTGTAATAAATTTCAACGCGCATTGTAATTTCCATTAATTTTGTCATCAACAACCTAAGATTTGTATCAAGGAAAAAACTTTTAAACCCTGTCCAACTAATTAGCTTTTAAACACGTTTAAGCTTTGTTGTGAATAACCTCGAAGATGAAATCGATGAAACAAAGCAACTAAATGGTCATGTATACTACGTTATTTTATGGTGTACACAAAATTGCAAAGCAAATTATCAGCGTTCGAAGTTTAGCTTTATCCGCTAAGTTAGCTGTCTTCCCTTTAACTTGTTTTGAAAATTAGAATGTTGGCTGTTTGATTTGCCCTGGCTCTTACAGACCTGGGGCCGGTTGCTGGAAGCCTGGTTAGCGCTAACCGTTGGTTAAGAGGTATCAAAACGTATAGGTTTCCATGGTATTTAACGCTGGTTAGCACTAACCATGCTTCGAGCAACCCTGGCCTGGACGTTACTTTAAACAAGACAATTAGTGTCTTTAAAAAATGCATAGGATAGGAGGTAATTAGCACGTTTCCAAACCGGAAAATGAACTTTTATTGTATAGCATGTTAATTAGCAGGTTATACAAATATAACTTTATACCATCTCGTCATTTAAAAAACTAATTAGAGGAGATTTATAATAAATAGAGTTTAGAGAGAAAGTGAACGTTAGCTCATGGACAAAAAATAATTTTTTCCGACGTTTTTAGTAAACTAACTACGAACAGATGTGCACCACCATAAATGTTGGTAGTCAGATCATACTTATTCGTGACGCTTTTCTAGAATGACTATTCATCAATTGGTCCGTTAGCTTGGGACCAGGCTCCGCTCGCAGATTTTTCTCTTTCGCCCTTTCCCCACTGGGGAGCCTGGTCGCAGGCTATTGATCCGTTGACGTTGAAGCAAATGAAAAAGTTTAATTGATATAGACATGTGTCACTAGTGTAAAAGTCTCTAATATCTCGTTCGGTTTATTAAAAAAAAAAAAAATTCGGAAAGGAGCGATCAATGATATTTTATGGCCGTTTTTAATAAAACAATTATTCTACCCGCACTTGCTGAATATGAGATGTTTATGGCCGACTCGGCACATAGGCCCGTATTCAACGCGAGCACTTTTCGAATAATTGTTGATTATTGTGCGTAACGTACAGTGAAATGCAACATCGAATAGATCTCTATTGAAAGCATCATGATTATCACTCCCATTTTCAATATTGTACCTTCTTTATTTCAGGTACCATCTGAGTGAGTTTAAAGGTGATATGTCATGAGAATATTGCTGTTAGGTCTGTGCTTATTAATAAGTGATATAGAAAATAACCTGACATAGTCCCCTGATGGGTCCTCTGATAGTATACAGTGGAACCTAACGAACCCCTATATAACGAAATCCTCGGTATAACGAACGACTTTCTTTACACCTGTAATTATAGTAAAAAATACCAAAAAGAACCTCGATATACCGAAACCTCGGTGTAGCCAACAAATTTTGCCAGTCTCTTGGCCCGTCTATATTTTATCGACGACCCAGCCGGTGAATAACGTATATGTATGATGACCTTATTATTCGCATACTGATTCTAAGTTTTACAAGACCTGAGTGAATGCCAAATTTATAATCAACATGTTAAATATTTAGCAAACAAAATTCCATTTGTAGTTGATTTAACTTTGCTCTAGTAATCATGACTTGAGTGTGTATGTTTTATCCCGGCAAATTTGACCTCTTTGATCAAGGTATTTTATTTGTCTTCTCTGTTATTGGTAATATGCCATTGTTTGCTCAATAATTTTGCTAAAGTTGTTGTTCCACCAACCTCTGAGATCCGACTGAATCGACAATTTGTTAAACTAAACAGGAATTTAGTTATCTAACTGAAAAAGAGCAAAGCTGTACTTTTGAGAACAGCTGAAATGGCTAATAGTGTCCCTTTACACAAATTTTATGTGAATATTATTGCGATAGGGTCGACGAGTTTTAAGAGTTCCAAAGGGAGTTAATTGCAAGGGTGAATTCTGCTGTAGTAGACTGTATTGATTGAAATGAACGAGTAGCAGAAAGCATAATGTAAGAGGCACAACAAGAATGCGCTAAAACAGTGTAGACCTTCTTGGTGACCTCAAATAATGTAAACCGACATAAATTAGTAAATAAATAAATGCGTCATTTCATGGAAACTCATTTAGCATTTTTGATATGGGACCATTAATTGACTGTAGATTGGCAATTCAATCGGAGAAACCATAATAATTTGTCTCCGTTTGCTGTCATCTTCCTACAATTAAAATATAGTGGCGCCTAAATGTTGTCAATAGTAGAATTATATATAGAACAAAGAACAGAAGATGTTTTGTAAGCAAAAGACTCAAGAGAACAGACCTGTCGAAGAATCCGAGTAAGCATGAACACAACAGCAAATGTGGGATCAAATTTCAGAAGCTGCCGCTTCAGTCTGATAAGTCAAGAAGCACTAAAAATTGAGCACATGGTTGCCTTCAGCCTGATCCTTGTTGTTTCGTTGGTTGGAAATTCTCTCATCGTATTAATTGTTTACAAAACACCAACTTTGAGAAAACCGATAAATATGTTGATCGCAAATACGGCCATTTCCGACCTGCTCTATCCAATATTCTGGGTTCCTGCTCGTCTGGCAGAAGAGAACGCCGGCTCGTGGCTTATTGGTGGTACCCTCGGTCAGGCCTTGTGCAAGCTACACTCTTTTCTTTCAGACCTTTCCTCGTTAGTATCGATTCAGAGCCTTGTTCTGATAACAGTGGATCGATTTGTAGCTGTTGTAGTTCCACTCCGTTCCCCTCTCATAAGTAGAAAGCTGTGTCTATTCTTCATTGTCGCTTCGTGGATCGTCGCAATGGCCGTTCATTCGCCATATCTTGTTGCTTTAAAACTTGTTAAATACCCAGAAGGACTGAGGTGCGAACTTCTGTGGCAGGAAGCCTTCCAAGGAAACACATATCCAAATTACTTCCTAGCATGTGCTATCGTGTTTTTCTACATTCCGTTTGTCCTCTTGGTGATACTTTACTCCATCATCCTGATCAAGCTTAAAACGCAAGTCCATCCAGGTGAACAGTCAGCCAACGCTGAGGAACAGAGGGCAAGAAGAAACAGAAACGCGCTTAAGATGGCCACTGCTATCGTGGTAGTGTTTTTCATTTGCTGGATACCCTTTCTTAGTAACGCGATAATAGACCGTTTCAGTCCACCAGACAGTCTTATTTTTTCTTCTTGTAGTTTTTATCGATACTTTAATGTCACCTTCTTTATGGCTTACGCAAACTGTGCTATTAACCCGATTATCTGCCTCATTCTTAACAGTAACTACCGCCAAGCTCTTAAGAGACTTGTGAGTTGCTGTGCCGCCGATGCAGTGGAACATTAATGTTTGAAGACTGAAAGCCGGGTCTGAAGAGATTCATTAAAAGAAAAAAAAAAAGAAGAAGACCAATAACAACTAATATGTTATGTAAAATAACAGCGAAATCACGAAAGAAATGCATGTGAATTATGTTTTCGGCTGCAAAGTAATCTGGAGCACGCCCTAACCGTAACTCTAGGAAGGGTGGAAAATGTTATTGTATGAACGCATTTGCAACGTATAATTTTGCCGAAAAACGCCGATCGAAGCCAGTAGAGCCATTTTATTATTCTGTTCACTGAAACAGCTTCTAGATGGTTTGCTGCAGAACCGGCAAGACATCCAAAGAAAACGGTATGATATTAGCAGATCGACATGCAAACTTTGAAACCTAAGTAAAGGAGCGCAGGTAGACATATTTCTACTACGAACCAAGACGAGGGACTTGAGCATAGGTGAAAGAAGAGGCCAATTAGCCACGGTCGTCCTACATTGTAAAGACAACTGATGTGTCTGAACTAAAGTGCCATAGAGTATACTCTGCTGAAGCGTTTAGAAAAAAAATCTTTCAACACAGAGAGGCATACTAAAGTGTTCAGCCTGCCCTTAGTTGTCATCACCAGAATCACCCCGAGCACCTGCCCAGTCACGTGCACCGGTGCCATGTTACAAATATGGCGTGGACAAACATCTTTCTTTCTTTTTGCGAATAATAACTAGGGGATGTTGGAAAAATGGACTGCGTGACTGTCACGCTGTGAAAGTAAACTTTGTTCCTTTTGATCTAGTTACTTAGTGATAAATTGTAATGAAGGTGATGTAGGTTTAGGATTTTGAAACTATAATCATCTTTGTAGCATGGACATTAAATTGTGAAGTGATTCGAGTCTGTAGGTCGTTTTAACGTGAATATTTTCTGGAAAATCTCTTGTGTTAGAAGCAATCGGAAGATTCCTGACAGGGCAACTTCAAGGGAGAAAATTGTGGTATACCCTGACGCCGAGTGAGAAATTAGTAGATTTTTCGCTGTTTGTGCGAGGAACAATTTAAAGACTTTCTCCTCTGTTTCAGCTGTAGCATTTTCTACGGAATGCTTCATTTCCCTCGTTTATATGTTGCCTATAGTCACCGACGAAGTCCGCCATGTTTTAATTTGTTATTGTGTAAAACTTGATGACATTAAGAAGTGACGTCAGTATTCCGTTTTATTCCAAATATTCTGCTCAGCTGATCTGTATTTGGAATATCTGTTCCACTTAGTTTAGAACTGGAGTAACAGGTCAATCGAACGGATATTCCGGATCTTTCAATTGTATTCCTATTGAGCTCAAACCAAGTTAGAATCGCATCGTGTTTCGGTTATTTCTTAGAGCATTAGAGACGTGTACCATAAATAATAATTATCCGCTTTTGTATAAATCGTATGAAAACTAGCTAGAGAGACGTGTATCTCGTTGTTTAACATTCTGACTTCAGCTGTCTTAGCGTTAGGCATTAAGCCATAAGGACCTTACATCTTCTTTTGCATGCTGATTCTGAGATGTGAAAGACGAATAAATTTCAAATTAATACAAAACGTCAAAGGTTTAGTGAACAAAATTCTATTTGTTTAGTCACTGGCATGAGCTTCGCTCTAGTATTTATGACCTGTGTGTGTACCTTATATCGCGGCAAATATGACCTCTTTGTCACGGTATTTTATTAATTTGACGTCTCCATTATTGCAAAAAGCCCAGTGAGGGCGAGTCGACGAGTCTTAGAGCTCCTAGGGAATTAATTTCAAGGGCGAATTCTGCAGTTGTTGACTACATTTATTGAAATGGAAAAATAGCAGAAAACATAATGTAAGCCAAATCAATGCAGTATAAACAGTGTATACCTTCCTTTCTGTGATCTTGGATAATGTAAACCGAAAAGAAATAATATGCAAATATAAGAAAAGGAAAGTGTTCAAGAACGGGGCGAGAGAACCCCTGGGATGCTACTCTAAAAGAACCAGTTCCACGACTTATTCGAACGCTTGTCTGTGATTGGGCAAAAAAATATTTTTGTGCCCAATCAGAAGCCAACATGTATTGTGCTGCCTTCGTAACCTTCTTACACGAAAGAGTTCACCTGCAAACTCGACTGTTTCCTCTCCGCCCCTGAAAAAAAATCAGTCTGGCTCGTGCGGGAGAGTTTCTTCGAGAAGAGGTTTCAGTGAATTCAAAATGAGCCCTTAAAGTCTACTCTACCAGTTTCATTCGACCTTCTTGTATCACTGAAGAGAAACATTTAACAACAAATTTACAAACTTTAAAGGCCGAAAAAATGTCTCCTGCACGCGCCTGCATGAGTATGCCGAGCAGACGTAAACAAACACCCAGACGATTTCGCACGAACAAGCCTAGAAGTACCCTGGTATTTACGAATTGACCTTCGAGCAGTCCACAGGCGGATTTCTTCAATTGTTGCATTTTTCGTTTTATTTTGGTTTGGTAACATGCTAAATTATGGGGTAAGATTTCCGTATAACCCCATACACTTATTATGCGTGCATGTTTCCACTCTATTCATTTTCATAATTATCAAGTAGTATGAAATTGCTACGTGCATGATAATTGTATGAGTTTACACTGAAATTTTACCAATTATGGCCTTTCAGTGGGGCCTATTTTTACTGAAAAAAATTCTCCAAGAAAGCTCTCCTGCAGGAGCCAAACATGCACGGCCAACAGTCGAGTTTGCAGGTGAACATTACAAGCCTCAGCGTTCCGGAAGTTAAAAAATGCGGCGCGCCTGGTTGTTTTGAAGTGACGTAATCATCCAGTTGAGTATCTGTCATCTTAACACTTTTGCGGTCAACTACCGCAGAGCTCGTAAAGTACTTTAGGGACGGACCACTAGAAAAGTTATGGGGGGGGGGGGGGGGTGTACTTCGTCTGTCCCCCCCATAAGTTTTCTAATGGTGCGGCCCTTAATTAAAATCGTGTTCAAACCACTGTGGAGGAAGTCTGTTTATAATTGTGTCGATAAATGCACTTCTGACTTTCATGAGGTTCAATTTTGAATGAATTATCAAAATTTTTGTTAAGCGAGAAGTCTACCTACGGTTCCCGGGAAAAGGAACTTTTATAGTGGCGCAACACAAATTTTTCGAAAGTCGAGGAGGTGCTGACAAACCATTCACTATATCTATGCGACTAAAGGAGGGTACAAGGTATATAACACGTTTAGCATTTCGACCCATAGCCGAAAAAAATAAATTAGACAGTTGCCCTATGTCCTTTCTGGTTTATCTAGGTAGAAGTCCTGGCATATAATTATGCCCGAGCGCTTCTAGGATATAAAACACGTTTAGCATTTCGACGCGAAAAAAAAAAACAATTGAAAGCTGTTCCATATCCTCTCTGGTTCATCCAGGTAGAACTAGTCCTTGCATGTTATTCATGCCTGACCGCTTCCAGGATATATAACACGTTTAGCATTTCGACCTGTAGAACAAAAATTAGGCAGTTTTTCGACATCCTTTCTGGTTCATCCAGGTAGAAGTCCTTGCATGATATTATTATGCCTGATTGCTTCTAGGATATATAACATGTTAAGCATTTCTTACCACACTTTCATCCTCGTCGATAAAACACAAGTTATAGTCAAATTAAGAGGCCGCTTTGAATCGATACGATTTCATTTGCATTTCTCCAAATTGTAGAGGGACTGAATATTAGTTTGAAGAGTGCTTTGAACTGTAGTACATGTTTAATCAACATAAACGAGAAGTGATCTAAAAGCTGAAGGAGAAGTTTGTATTTCTAAATTTTTTCCTGACATCAAGTTAGGGGCCGTAGATTTAGGGAGAAAAAAGGGGGGATTAAAAAAAGAATGCAGACTCTCAGTATGTCAGGGAAAAAGAAAAAAAATCTATCGTGGGGCAACATATTCTTACGCAAAGCAATTTACCTATACCCTCTCCCCCCCCCTCCTTACCCCCAAACGCCTCAAAAGTCAGCTAACTGGCCACTTAGTCAGCACAAAACGAAAAACAAATAACAAGGACAAAAATTAGAAAGAGCCAAATTTTCAGGACCGGAGTCGGTTTCTTTGAGGTTCGCACAGTTTCTAGTAGTTATATTTGAATGGATTACGCGAAAAGGGATTTTCTTGTCCTTTCAGGTATTGTATCATTTTTAGTGTGTTTACACTGCTTCAAAAATTGCTTATTTCAATATAGATATTTCTTATTTCTTGCTTACAAATATTTTCTATCGAACCGGCCAAGTTTATATTTAGCCAAATTCGAAAATAGTATAGAGAATGTTGCTGACTAACACTTGCCCATACAATGCACTCTCGCTTTATTAACTTGCTTTGTTACATCAGTATAAAAACGTTCACCGGATTAATCGAAATTCGATATTTACTTTAGAACATAGAATGTTATGAAAACGGTTGCAGTTTTATGGAGTTTGTGTCATTTTCGTGATAGAGAATCGGAAAGGATATATTTTAGTAGACATCAGATTCCAGAATATGTAAATACAAGAGGGCGGATCAGAATGATATGATATTGCTCTTATACTGAAGGCGAAAGGGGGTATAATATGTGGTGCGCACTTTCAAAAGTACATTCACTTATTATTCCGCACTTAAAGGGGTCATAAAAGTGTACTGTTTAATGGTATTAAAGTGTTCACTTCAAGAGTCCTAAAGTGAACACTTTAAAGGAGTCTTAAAGGGAACACTTTAAGGATTAAGTTATAGCAAACATTATGATGAGAAGATGGAATCATAATGTCATTTTATTTCGAGGCATTTCCCGTTTCTTATCAGCAGTGTGCAGGCGGTGTTTCCCTGGCCAATCAGCAGATCGAACATGTTTAGTGCTGTATAAAAGACTTGTTATGTGTTTCGCGCGGCCCTTCCAACTATTACTATCAGCCTGTACTAGTGACATCCCTTTGACGCTTAGTTGAAAATTTTTCCCACCACCTCCCCAGTCTCCGACCTGCCACCGTCTACATCCTCTTATAGTTTTATCGTCTTTAGTTTGTCGCAAGTAATGGCTAATTTGTGGCGGATTTTTGTCCCCACCTTTCCTGAAGAGATGTTAATTAGTTAGTTTTATCATTGGTTTCAATTAAAAACGTCACGCTTGTGGCCATTTATCCCAAACAGCTGAGATTCTTGCTCAATACGTGTATGCAAAGCTGATGGGTATTAAAATCATGTCAGCTTAAAGACGACTTCCATATTTGCGAAGCACTGTTGAAAAGGAGCTTTCTTTGGAAGTATGTTACTGAGCTTTACTTTAAGTATGCTGTACGCAGACGTATTATTGGTCGTTAGGTTAAAGCCTTATACACACCTATAGAGAAACGTTCAACATGAACACAATCAGTCACAGTCTGATAAACCCGGTAGCAGAAAAACTTGAGAAAACAGTTGCTTACACTCCGATCGCTGTTCTTGCTTTGGCGGGAAATTCTCTCATCGGAATAATTGTCTGCAAAACTCCAACTTTAAGAAAACCAATTAACCCATTGATCGTGAACATGGCCATGTCAGACTTGTTTTATCCAATATTCCTGCTTCCTTTTCGACTGGCGGAATTGCACGTTGGCTGGTGCCTTATTGGTGGTGCCCTTGGTCAGGCCTTGGGCAAGCTACACGTTTTCCTTGTAGATGTCTCATCGTTAGTATCGATTCAGAGCCTGATTCTGATAATAGTGGATGGATTCTGAGCTGTTGTAGCTATTCGTCAACGAAGACCTAATATTCAGAACCTTACCTTTGCAAAATAAACCGATTTCATCTTTGTGGAACATAAGAAAACTAGACCAAAAGGCTCCTTACTGCATAAGTTAGTCGTTCCGTTAAAGAATCTTCTGAATTTATTGCTCCTTACCCTCTAAACGGTGCAGCTGTACATTAAAACGATATGCCTGTGTTAAGCTCACAACAATTAGCATATGGTGAAGTTATATTCGACGAACATTTTAGCGATATTGGCCCCTTAGAGCCGCCTGTTGCCTTGTGACACATGAGAAATATCATTAACAGAAGTAAAGAACAATAGAGGTCCAAAATGGAACCTTGTAGGACACCACAAATAACACATTTGGTTGACGAACAATGCCCATTGTATTATTGGGTCATCGCGAATATACCGAAATTCTTGTCGAATATAACTTCACCCTATGCAAAGTTAATGTGTTATGGCATCTTTCTTTCCTTGGAAGAAAGATGATCTGTAATGTATGTATTGCATCACATGACTTTTTTTTGGCTGTGGATGTTGCTTTCGTAATACACTGAATACACAGAAGAAATGAAAAAGAAAGAAGAAGAAATGAAGAGGTGGATGCGTAAGCCGAAGAAGGCCTTCGATATTTACCGCCTTACAATTTCCACCATTTTTATTTTCATTCTTGCTGTCCTGTTGGTTGCACTTTACTCCATCATCATGATCAAACTTAAAAAGCAAGCCCATCCAAGTGAACAGTCAGCCAACGCTGAAGAACAGAGGGCAAGAAGAAACAGAAATGCGCTTAAGATGGCCATCGCCATTGTGTTGGCGTTTTTTTTTTTTGCTGGACCCCCTACGTCATTAACGAGTTGATATCTCTTTGTTTGCTCAGGGATATTTCATATTCCCGTAGTTCAGATATATACAGTTATCTCAGCTCCTTTCCTATCTCCGCATATGTTAACCACTCTCCGTAGTGGATTTTTTGGATCCGACGGGTTTGGTTATTTCCTGTGGACGACTGAAACTAGCTATTTTTGATGTCAGCTACGTCATAAACGCAAGTGTAGTCTCAAATGAAAACTCTCAAATTCAAAATGGTGGACATTACAATGACTCTACAATGTTCTGTTTGGGACAAAAAATTCATATCTCTGCGCGCGTAGCAGTTCATTGATGCGTATTCTACGTCAGTACTGAATCCAAAATATTTAGTATCCAACACATACGATATATATATCTTCGACGATATATATATCTTCGACAATAACTAACCAATTCTGTATATGTCAAATGCATAGTAAGTTACACTGCTTGCTGCTCACGTAAAAAATAAACTGACTTCAATACAATACTCTTGCAAATGGCTTTTACCAATTGTTAAGTCCACTCGACTGTCACAGGACTAATCTCTCAGATTTTAAAGATATATGGAAATTTAAGAAAGTTCGATAAATATCCGATCAATAGGGTTTTAAGGTTCTAAAACACTGTTAAAGAAGAAAGAGTTAGCTAGTTAGAGAGAAGACAAACGGAGTTAGCAAGAAGGAGTTAGCAACTGGAAAGAAAGATTTGGAGATTGTTCAGGGAAAAGTTAGTCAGAGATAGAGGGAGTGAACCACAGCAGCAGCGAAGGCTTAACCTTAAAGATAAGTGAAATGGAAGAGAAGTAAGAATGTACAACAGTCTTGCGAGTAAGTAAAATAAACCTTAAAAAAGTAACTGGTTGATTGTGAAGTTCCTCTCGTCTCTCCGTCCCTATCAAAAAACGACACACAAACATCGTGTATCACGACTAACAAAAACGCGAAAGACTTTGTAAATGCTAAAAGCCGTGCCAGACCAGAAAGAATCTCTACTCGCAGGATATCAGTTTAAACCCAAAATTTCCCACACAAAAAAACTTGGCACATTGTAGCCCTTTAAGTTTAAGTTTAAGTTTAATAATTCTTTTTACCAATGTACAAAATAAAAATATATATACATATGTAAAAGTACAATAGGTAAAGGAAAGCAATAGGGGGAAACTGAATTCCCATATAAAAACTGCCCTTCAAAACGAAAAGATAAAACAATTATGAATAGAAAACTAATACATAACTATACATCACGTGATACTAAGAGAAAAAAAAAACAAACAAAAAAACAACAACTAAATAAACTACGTAATAAAGTTTTAAAAGAGTTCAAGCTGTAGCTGGAAGCAGACATAACGAAGTTTGGTAAAGAGTTCCAGTCATTAACGTAACGATTAAAAAATGAAAATTTACAATAGTTTGTCCTTGCTGCTCTAGGCCTGATTTTAAAGTCATGGTTTCTTCTAGTTCTTGTCGGGCCAGTCAGATCCACATATGTGGTATAATCAATATCAGAATAGCCATGAATTATCTTGTAAAGTTGAACCAGGCAAAGGTATTTTCTTCTAAGCTCCAATGTTGACCAGTTGAGTTCAGTGAGCCTTTCAGTGTAAGAATTGTGAGATCCACATATCAGTCGAGTAGCACGACGCTGAATGGATTCAATACTATGTATGTGTTTAACCAAATATGTATTCCACACTGGGCAGGCATATTCCAGAATAGGACGAACTAAAGCGATAAAAGCTGTTTTGATTGGCACAGGATCTTTAGACCCAAACGTTCTCCTTATTAGACCCAATACTCGATTTGCTTTACCAACAATGCAATTGATATGAGCGTCCCACCTTAAAGAAGATTCAATCCAAATGCCCAAGTGCTTATGTTTATCAACAGCCGACAGATTATTCTCATTTATCACATACTGATGAACTAAAGGACAATTGGACTTGGTAACATGTAAAGCCTTAAACTTTTCCGACTTCAGCGTGACCTTCCACAAGTCACACCAGGAGGCGGCAGACTTTTTTAATGTCTTACAAATTTTCAATGAGGTCGTATGAAACGACGGTTAAGGAGAATATTATCGTTTAAAAAATCTATTGAGCGGTTATTTGCTCAATTTTTTGTTAATGTATAAGCCAAAATATATACTTAAATGCCAAGAGAATGAAAGCATCTCACGAATGCTAATGAAATCCCTCTTTTTGAGATCGTTTAAAGCTATCCCGTTGATTCTTTCAGGTTTCATTAGTTTTCATTGTGACTCATCTGGAACTCAATTCATTTTTCTGGCGGAGCGAGTTTATAATTTTGTCGCGGGCGCAGCGCGCGGATCACGCGAGGGAACTGCGATTTCATAAATCTTTCTATCGGTTTGGTATCTGCAGTTGCCTAGCAACGAGCCATAAACAAATTCTAAAGACGCCATTAAACATGACGTCATCATGCATTTTGGGTTTCCAGGCAACACGGCAACAAGGCAACTTGGGCTCATTTTATTCATCTTCTGTTTTAATATTGTACGTTGGCGAATCGCCAACAGGCGAATCGCAAAGTATCTCTGAGGCGAATAACAGCGGGCTGCCAACACAACGGTGCCCGATTGGACAAGTGGCCGGAAATCCTTGCCGTGGGAGTTTTAACACCGAAAGAACGGTGACCTAAACTTCAGCTAGCCTGCGAAAGCATCCGTTTCTCCTCGCTCAGAGCAATGAGAAATGGATGCTTTCGCAGGCTAAACTTATTAATAAGCGAGAGCAGTGATAAAGGAGACCAGTCCGTTAATCGAGCGGCCTATATAAAGCCCGAGAGTGAATAAACACGGAGATAATGCGAAATGGTTTTGAAATGCTCATTTTGAGCTAATCTTCCTCAAATGTATCTTTGAATTCATGATAAATACAGCTCTACAAGGTTCGAACAGTGTGAATGGCAGAGAAAAATACTTCAACACTATTAATTTTAGAGAAATTTTGGTGTAGTGGTCAGAGGCCGCACTTTTTGGCTTGAGGAAGTTGGGGTGCAGGTTCAAATCCCGGCGTGGCTACTTCCATTTTCTCTTTTTTCATCGTATTTTTGCCCTTTGGCTTTCTCACTAGCTCTCACTGCTGACCACGTTAGCTTCGCGAGATTTTTGCGAAAACGTATTTCTAGTTTAATTTGCTATTTACATTTATCTAAAGCAACGTTTTTGATGTCACAATAGGGAACTTAAGATGGAGACGTTTTCGGGGCGACGGCGACCGGACTGGCAGAGAAAGCCTGGAACTAAGGCAGCCGTCGCTCCCCGTCAAAGATAGAACATTAAGATCGCAGTGAACTTAGAAGGACGGCGCCTTTAATTAGAAGAATACCGAAGAGGAAAATATGGCTTCACATAAAGAATTAAGAGAATAAATATTTGCTATGCAGACAACATGTATCGGATGAAGAGTTTCTCGTTTTGTGGGAAAATTATGAGTCCAAAAATCCCGATTTTCCTCGGGACAGTTACGATCCGTTCACGCTAACAGACATGCGGGATGCAGCTGAGTTCAAGGCAGAATTTCGTGTTGAAAAAAAATGATCTCCACAGGCTTGCCGAAGCCTTGCAAATTACAGGAACATTAAAATGCTACCAAGGAACCGTATTCTTAGTTTGGTATTGAAATAATTCCCGGGAAATACTTGCATGCAACAACAAAAACAACGGCAACAACTTTATTTCAGTATTCCCACGCCGAGTTAGTACATGGTATTACCTACTATTCTATATAATTTTCAATGCGTTTCATTTATACGATATTGTAACGACAAGAGCGAACTAAAAACACACAATTGA